ACATTGAACCATCCTTGCATCCCTGGGATGAAGCCTACTTGGTCATGCTGTATGATCCTTTGATGATTTGTTGCCTTCTGTTTCACGGTATCTTGTCAAGGACTTCTGCATCTGTATTCATTGAAGAGATTGTTTTGTAGTTCTCTTTTTTGGTTAGATCTTTGTCTGGTTTGGAATCAGGGCAATGCAAGCTTCCAGGAATGACCTCGGGAGCACTCCTTCCCTTTCAGTTGCATTCAAAGACTTGAGGAGTATTGGTATTAGATTCCTTGAAGCTTTGTAGAATTCAGCTGTGAATCGTCCAGACCTGGACTCTTCTTAGTTGGTAGGTTATTTAGTACTGCTTCCATTTCATTGTTCCTTATTGGATTATTCAGATATTTAAATGTTCTTGGTTCAATGTGAGTAATGCATATGTCTCTAGGAATCTATTTCTTCTGAATTCTCCAATTTACTGGTGTACAGGTTTGTGAAATAGTTAACAATGCTTTTTATTTTTGTAATGGCTGTTGTGATTTCACCTTTTGCATTTGTAATTGCATTGATTCAGGTGTTTTTGCTCCTTTTTTTTGTTACTTTGGATGAAGTTTTGTCCACTTTGTTTTGTTTTTTGTTTTTTGAAGACCAACTCTCTGATTCATTAATTCTTTGGGTTTCATTTGTTTGTTCATTTGTTTGTTTTTTTGGTATCAGTTTCACTGATGTCTGCTTTGATCTTTATAATTTTCTTCTTTGTATTAGATTTGGGTTTAAATTGTTTTTATATTTTTTAGGACTTTACAGTGCATCATTAAATCATGTATTTAGGCTCACTGTGTTTTTGCAATGTGGACATTCATAGGTATAAACTTCCCTCTTGGAACAGCTTTCATTGTGTCCCATAAGCTCTGGTATGTTTTACTGGCATTACCATTTAGTTCTAGACTCTGTCTCATTTCTTCCTTGATTTCTACTCTCATCCATTGTTTTGTTAAGAGTATATTGTTTAGTCTCCAAGTACTTGCACAATTTCTGTGTTTTCTTTTGACCCTCATTTCTAATTCATTGCACTATTGTCTGATAATATGCATGGTATGTTTTCAATTCTTTTACATTTACTTATGGTTTATTTCTGGGCTAGTATGTGCTCAATCAGTAGAAAGTTCCATATGTAGCTGGAAGGAATATGTATGTGGAAAGGAATGTGGCTGGAGCACTATGCAAATATCAATTAAGTTCATTTTTTCAAGGTTTTGTTCAAATCTGGAATTTCTCTGTTGGTTTTTTGTGCGTGTAATCTATTTGTGATAGTGGGGTATTGAGGCCCCCATGATAATTGTGTTTATGTTTATCTGATCTCTTGGTCCACCAGCTCTTGTTTCATGAAGTAGGGGACACTGTTGTTCAGGGCATGGATGCTAACAATCGTTACCTCTCCCTGTTGGATTGTTCCCTTAATCCATATGTATTGACCTTCTTTGCCTCCTTTGATCAGTTTTGACTTGAGTCCACTTTGTTCTAATTTAAGGGAGCTACACCTGCTCTTTATCAGATTCCTGTTGCATGGAACCTGGTTTTCCATCCTTTGATTTTTAGTCTATGAGTTTCTTTCAGTCTTAAATGTGTTTCTTCTTTACAACATATTGTTGGATATTATTTCTTGATCCATTCTGCCAGTCTGTGTCTTTTGATTGGGGAATTGAGACCATTCACATTGAGAGTTATTACTGATCAGTGTTGACTTATTCCTGTCATTGCCTTCCTTCCCTGCTGTTGATTGACTATGTTTCTCTTCTGCTTAACTGCTTGCCCTATTTGGTGTGTTCATTCTAAGAGACTTTTTTGTAATTGTCAGCTTTATTGTCTCTTTCCAGGGTAACCTTGAGAATGTTTTGCAGTGCTGATTCAGTGGTTATGAGTTTCTTTAGGTGCGCTTTAACATGAAAGTATCTTATTTATCACTCAAATTTGAAAGATGGTTCTGCAGGAGATGTCAGCCTGGGTTAGAAACTGTCTTCTGTTAGGGCTTGAAAAACTTCACTCCAAACTCTCCTGGCCATTAAGGTTTGTGTGGAAGAGTCTGCTATAATTCCGGGAGTTTTCCTTTATACATAATGTGTTGGGGTCTCCTTGGTGGGAGACTGGAACCTGAAGACAGTATTCGATGAAACGTATAAAATGAAGGGCATGGGGGACCAGAACTCTTGGAGTTAAGGCCAGGATTATTGGTCATATTCCTCTTTTATACACTTTTCTGTAGGATACATCAATCATTAACAATTTACAATGCTAGTCAACTAACCACCAGCTAGCTATATCTGTGAGTACATAAACGTCTAAAGAACCATCTATGCTCCTTTAATCTTAGTGCATCTTATCTAAATCATCTTGGCTACTTAAAGCTTCCAAAGGAATTAGCTACTCTTATCTAGTCTTATACCAAGCAAATATTTGAGAGTCTCAAGGGACCACAGTGGAACGAACACTGTGGGATAGACAAACAGCCTTCTGAAGTTATCTTTAACTTCTCTATCTGGGCCTGCCACAGACATCAGGACAATCTGTCTTCCCAAGGCTGTCCGAAGGCCCGAGAACTTCTCATATCCTCCACAATAATGCATTGCTTTTCTCTAAGAGCTTTCAAGATTCTCTTATTGACTTCTAGAATTTTGACTAGGATGTGTTGTAGACAGGTTCTTTTCTGCTTGTGCCTATTTGGGGTCCTATATACTTCACTCACCTGTTTGTGAAATTCTTTTACCTTATTTGGAAAGTTTTTGCCTATCATTTCATAAACAGATTTTTTATGTCATTTTGTTCCCTTCTCATTTTTCAATAATTCTAATTAATCTCACATTAGTCTTCTTTCCACCATCTAGGACCTGTTGGGTCTATTTTCTCTGGTTGTTTTCAAGGTAGCTCTCATTAATTGATCACTAACAGCAGCCCTGTCTCTAGTTCTGAGACTCTGTCCTCCTAATGATCACTTCTGGTGCCCATACTTTCCAGAGATTTCTTCCTCTCCTGAGTTTCTACTTGGAGCCACTTTATAGACTCTTATTATTTTCTAGGCTGATCATGCTTGGTTTGCATCCTTTCATTTACCTCTTCAATCTTTTTATTAGTGTCTTTTGTAGACATTGCTGATTTTGCTTAATTAGCTCAATGTCTTATTTCTTATATCTTCTGTTACCTTGTCAAATGCCTTCCTGAACTATTATTTTATCACCTCCACTGCTATCATTTGGAATGATTTGGGTGAAGGCTTTTGTTCTCTTTCCCTTCGATGCCCCATGGATCAACTTTGAGGGAGGTGGGAGGTTGAGGAGGCGTGCTGTTGGCTGGTCTTGCATTTCTATTTTTGCGTGTTTGTGTGTCTGTCTTGTATTGAGGCTTGTAGGTTTTTTGTAGGGGAAACTTGTTACTACTATGAAGTCCTCTTTCATTAATGTCTACTTTTCAGTGGTGTCCTCTGGGCATAGGTAACTACTGGCTTTTGCCTGTGCCCACGAATCCAGCCACCTCTGTATGCATTAGAAGGGAGATTGCAGTGTGTTTAGCCAAGTATCCAGTTCTCCTGCAATGGGCCACAGTATTATTAAGGACATCAAGGCAATCTAAATATGGGCATCTTAAGACAACCAACTATTAGCAACAGCTATGTGACCTTGGTAGATTAATAAAATTAACCTCAATTATAGCATTAAGTACAATGACAATATCAATAATTCCTAAGAACCACTAAAGTTTATACCTACTTTTAAAATTGTATTTTTAGTGTGTGTGTTTGTGTACGTGCGTGTCTTTTACTAGGAATTAAATACAGGACATTCACACTGACCTACATCCCAGGCCTTTTAAGAGGGGTTTGTTTGTTCGTCTTGAGATAGTGTCTTACTAATTCGCTGAATTTCCCTGCTGGGCTCAAGCATTAAATCCTCCTGTATCAGCCTCCCAGATTGCAAGGATACAGGTTTGTACCACCATGCCTGGCTCCCAGCCCACTTTTAATATTTTATTTTGAGATAGGTTTTCACTGACTTTCCCAAGGTGCTCTCAAACTTTGAATTTTGTCTCAGCCTCCCAGGGCTGGGATTATAGGCATGGCACGCACTCATCTCCATTACATAGATTTTTTTCACAACATTAAAAAATATCATTTGCAATGGCCATTTCATGACACAAGATGGTGGCTGCCTATCCACAGCTTTGGGAGGAGAGGATCGATTGATGCTATGTTTCTGGGGCTCTGACTACCAATTAGGAACTTTAGATCACAAGTCATGTTCAGGAATTCAGCACTAAGTAAGGAAAACTGCAAAGAGATCAAGCATGCAAGGTGGAAGGGAGAAGGCAGGGGGAGGAGTGATAGCCTGGGACCAGCAGGACTTTGCCCGCTCCACCCCTTGTAGGAGCTGTGGCCTGGCTTTGCCTTAGACAGGAATCCTGCGAGAATCCCTGCTGCCAGCCCCGGGACTGCTTTCCCTGCTGGTTCCTTGTCTGGAAAGACTTGAGATGCAGCCAGTAAGGCTACAGTGGGCCTTTGCATAAGCTCTCCTGGCCCCTGCAGCTGGGCTCCTGCTTCCCTTGATTTCTGATTCCATCGATTTCACCCCAAAGTGTCCCACAGGGCCCCACCACACTACCAGAGGCCTGGTGGCCATGCATCCCAGCTAAAACCCCTGGATGAGGAGGAGTGGGGTCAGTCAGGACCAGAGCGCTGAGTCCTGCCAGCAAAGACCCTGCCACACCCGCTCCTGACAGGGCTCCTCCTCTCTAGGATGAGGACAGTGCTGTGGACTTCCTGGAGCTTTCGGACTGACCAAGATGATGGGGTGGCATTGGACCATGGACCTGTTGCTGTTAAGAATGACCTGTGGTTGGGCCGGGGATGTAGCTCAGTGGTGCCGCCACCTGCCTCGCAAGCACAAGGTCCCGAGTTCTATCCCCAGTACCAAAAGATGAGAGAATGACCTGCGGCCTCTCCTGCCTGTGGCCTTATCGCAGGGAGACACCAGAGGTAGAGAGCAGGGCCTTTATTTAGGAAGCGCTCAGGAGAGGAACAGCCCCGGGGACCTAAACATTTGGCCAAGTGGGACCAGACACAAACACTAGAAACCCAAGACAATAGGCATCTGAGGTGCCTGGGAGCCATCCGCAGAGGGTGTGGGGGGAGATTCAGAATCATCCGAAAGGGGCACAGGGCTGACCTGCAGGTGCACAGTGGGCAGCGCCTGGTAGGTCAGGGCCCAGAACTGTGGAAACTTGGTCCTCAGGTGTTCCTTCATGGAGCTGCTGTCTAGTGTGCTGGTGATGTCCAGGTAGTTGCTGTTCTCCGTGGTGTAGGGGTACCAGTGAGTGGGCACTGCAGAGTGGCCCGCATTGGGGTCCCTGCACAGTGAAAGATGCTAAGGCTCAAGGAGGATAAGCAACCTGTCCCACACCTCCCTTCCTTCGAATGACAGAACTGGACTACAGCCCAGGGCCTCCAGGGCCATTGTGGTGGGGCCCTTGAGCCTGCTGCCTCGGGCCCCAGGCTTGAGTCCATGCCTTACCCACTATGGGCAAAGTTGGTCCAGTAGGCGATCATGGCCTTGGAGACGGTCCTGTCTTGGGGCTGGTACACCTCAGGCTTAGTGAAAGGCTCTCCATACACAGAGGCGATTTCAGCGGCATGATTGGCCCCCAGCCATTTGGGATTGCCTGGATCCCGAGAGGGCAGAGAAAACTGGTAGAAGCAGGTCCTGGCACTCCTGAGGGGACAAGACACAGCCTGCACTGGGGCTGGCTCAGCTGGGCCACCTGGCCAGAGGTGGGTCCTGGAGGGTCCCCACCAAGACTCACGGGGAACTGAGGCCCTGGCACCAGCGGAGGGAAAGCAGATGCCCAAGTTCTCGGAGGCCACAATTCTAGTTGTGCTTTTACCTCACCCAGACAGAACGCTTGTGCCATTTCAGCCCATGAGCTGCCAAAGCGAGCCCTGCACAGAGCACTTGGAGGCCCCTTCCTCCTGGGTCTCAGTATCCACACGGCTGTGTGTTCTCTCCACATGCCCGTGCATGTCATTCGACTGGAGAAGATATGGGCCTCATCCGTCTCCCGTTCTGCCTTCACTGGGGGAAGCGAGACCGCGCTTAGCTCCCCCGTTGGCCATGGCAGGAAGCTGCACCGTCCTAGAGGCCCTGCCCAGGAAGCCACCCCCTTCCCAGACCCTCACTTGGCAGCGGCTCTGTGCTGGGCCAGGGCTGTCTCCGTGGGCATCAGGAAGAGGACGTCGGTCTCCAGGTCCACCACAGTCCTCTTCTTGGTCTCCTGGGATGGGTCCTGAGCCCAGCACTCGGTGTAGATGGCAAAGGCGGCCCTGGCACCTTCCAGCCCCTTGTTGGTGGTGAGCCCACTGACCAGCCAGTAGAAGTCCTCCCTGCAGGGACACAGCAGGCACTAGACTGTGCCCCTGGAGCCACCGGGAGGCCAGCTGCGTCCCCACCTAACACAGCATCACCTTCCTCAGTCTCGGCCCTCTGCTGGTGGCTTCTGCCTTGGGCTGGGCTCCCCAGGCAGCTCCTCCTCAGCTGTGCCCTAGCACATACTGCCCTCGGATCCTGTGGCCTTGCTTACTCTGAGATGTCCTTGTAGAACTTGTCGATGGCTGGCATGTCAACGGTAGCAAATAGGTGGCCATCCATGCTGTTGGTGCCTGCTAAGTAGTCGATGTCGGCAGCATTGGAGAACAGGTTGGAAGGGTCATCGGGGATGAAGTCTCCATCCACGACAGGGACAAAGGCCAGATAGTGCACTATAGGGTCTGGGAGAGAGAGGGAGCAGGTTCCTGGACCTCTGGCACATCCGGGCCTCCCTTTGTACCCAGAGTTCATCTCCTTCCTTCTCAGGCCTACACCACTGCTTCTCAAGCCTGGCCCGAGGACCCAGGCCTGGAGAGTCCTGCCCCAGCCAGGTGTGTCCTGTAGGGTGGGGTTCAGCTGCATCCCCGGCTGCAGCCCACCAGATGCCAGTGGCTCCCTTCTCCCCTGGTGACAATGGTACATGTGCCCAGAAGTTGCCACATGGCCCCACATGGAGAGCACACTGCCCTAGGGGCCAGGGCTGTTCCTTTGCTTCAGGGACAGTCCCTCCTTCACCTTCCTGCATTCTCGCTGGACTTTAACCAAAGGCAGGGAACACCTCCAGCCTCAGAGAAAGAGGTGCTCTCTCCCAGGGTTGGGGTCTGTGGAAGCCATCAACTGTGGGTGGCCAGCACCTCGCTCTAGACCCTCTGCTGGCCCCAGAGCACCAGGTAGCTGGGCTGGGCAGGTGGGGCCCCAGCCTCCCTCAGCTCCCACAATGCTTTTCGGCAGCAGACTCCAAACAATATTGGTTGGCAGGGCCAGGAGTTCTGCACAGGGGTAGAAGGCTCAGCATGCACCAGGCCCAAGTTTGATTCCCAGCAGCATGAACAGGAAAATAAAGATAGGGGTGTTGCATTTGGGGCCAAAGTGTTTGCTTTGGTTTTTCCTTGCCAACACTTAAGAGTTTGGTGCCATTAGGTAAAGAAGCAAATGACCAGATGACTCTGGCTGAGGAGAGAGAGCAGGAAGGAACTGCACTGCTGTGCTGGCACCTGGCATTGCTAGGGACTCCGCTGGGTCCTGCTGGCAAGGCTCACCATTACTGCAGGTGGTGAGCAGAGTTTGCTGGATGAATAAGGGAGGGAAGAATAAGATTGTGTCATACACAGCTGCTGGCTGTTTCTGGAGTCTGGGAATCCCCCTGACAGTGGGAGCAAGGGCTGCAAAGCTGTGCATTATTAGGGGCCTGGTAGGGACCATGTGTTCATCAGCTTCTAAAAGCAGACACTTGAGGCTCACAGAGGAGAGGAATAGGAACAAATAACGGCTTCTTTCCGGTATCACTTGGGTTCCTGCCAGGCCTGGAAGCAAGCTGCTAGGGACCCCAGAGTTAGTAACAGGGTTGGGCCCCAGCCCCAGCATGCTCCTCTCTTCTACAGGTGCTTGGCCTCCCCCAGCAGGGGCCTCGTCTGAGAACCACTAGAGCCCCAACCTGAAACCCTCACTCACATTCCTATTTTCCGAAGGGCACGTGGTAGGCCAAGGTCAGGGCCCGGGGGTCGGTCACCTTCAGACACTTGGCCAGCCTGGCAGTATCGTCCGTGGGGCACCCCACCTTCTCGGCCACCTGGGCACGGGACAAAAGTAGGTGGATAGGTGAGGCCAGTGAGCAGGCACCGAATGGCTCATGAGACAGGACAGAGAATGGGGAACGGGAAGGGCCCCACCGGGGTGGCTGTCAGACTCCTCCCTGCCCACCTGCCCTCCTCCGTTTACCTTTTGGGCCCAGAAGAGTGGGTTGTGCTGGATGGCCCAGGGGCTCAGTGCCACACCGCTCTGGCTAATGGCTCTCCGGATGAGGCCTTTGTTGTAGGGGGACAGGGTCTGCGACAGCCAGGAGTCCTGTCACCCAGCTGTACCCGGCTGAGCACACCCCAGCCTGGCCCTTAGCCTCCTCTCCTGCTTCCACCTTCCCCGGCCTCACTGGCTCCTTCCCAACCTTGGGGTCAGGCCCTGCCCTCTGGGGAGCCCCAGACCTGCAGAGAGACGCTGACACCTCCAGCTGATTCCCCAAAAATAGTGATGTTGTTGGGGTCCCCCCCAAAGGCCTCGATGTTCCTCTTCACCCAGGCAATGGCCATGTGCTGATCCCGCAGGCCGTAGTTCCCTGGGGGCAGAGCAGGGGCAGGCGTGGTCATCCAGGCCCTGGGCCAGGCTGCAGGGTGCTGGGCATGACGAGCCACACTTGTTGTCCCAGCCCCAGAGCGCCCAGCGGACCTGGCAGGTTGGCGTCCTTGGTGCTGAGGAAGCCCAAGGTGCTGACGCGGTAGTTGAAGGTGACCACGATGACGTTGCCTCGGGTGGCGATCTCCTCCCCATCATACAGGTAGTTGTTGAGGAAGTTGGCCCCGTGGCCAGCCCCCATGAGGAAGGCTCCGCCGTAGATCCAGACCATCACAGGCAGGTCCTCGGAGACTGAGGTTGGGCAGGGTGGTGACCCAGGAGCCTGCCCTGTGTCTCCCCAGCCAGTGCCCTGTCTCCTTGCAGCAGGCACTCTGCCCCAGGCAGGGAACCAGTAGTGGGCTCCCCCTGCCTGTCCCTCTGGGCTGATTTCAGGGGATTTCAGCTCCGAAGCCACCAGCCCCACCCCCACACCAGGGCAGGGCCGTGGCTCCTGCTTGGGGCTTCCCACAGGGTGTGGGGCCAGACCTTCCTTCCTGCCCTGGGGGACCCAGATGTTGAGGTACAGGCAGTCTTCGGCACCGTAAGTGCTGTCCTGGGTGATGGTGGCCTGCAGGCATCGCTTCTTGAAGCCGGTGGCCTTCAGGGTCCCTGCAGGAGGCAGGAGTGCATGGCATGAGTCCGCAGCTGCCCTCACCACACACCCAGGGCCACCCAGCAGCTCTGTCCTCACCTTGCCAGCCAGGGTGATGCTGCGGGTTCTCCAGGGTCTTGG